AATTACATAGATAAAGCCCTTCGTAAAGTGTGAGCTGTACTTGTCAGAACAATTTTTTGAATCTCCTTGAGGCATGGACTTCCAGGAATCCCTTCAATTAGTCTACTGCAATCTTTTCCAACCAGTCCTAGGGCTCCAACTACAACAGGGATTGTTGATGTTCCCACATGCCACATTTTCGAGATTTCTATTTCAAGGTCCTTGTATTTTGACAACTTTTTGAATATCTTCAAAGATACATTGCAGTCAGCAGGGACTGCCATATCAATAAGGAGGCGCCGTTTTTGTTTGTGGTCTTTAATAACAATATCCGGACGGTTGGCCTTGATTGTTCTGTCAGTGTGTATTGTGTAGTCCCAATACCGGGTCTGGGTGGTGTTCATACCAGTTTCTTTCAGTTTCCTTCCTGTAGAAGTTGCAGATTTTCCAGTGCAGGTATTGACCCACTCTGTCATGCCGGGTTTTATATTCAGTGGGTGCCAACATCGTGCAACCTGATACAAGATGATCAATCATTTCTGGATATTTATCACAGAATCTGCATTTTGGGCTGGCACAATATTTTAGTATATGTGATTGATAATTCCTAGTTAGCAAGCATTGGTCCTGCGCAGCAAGGATAAAACCTTCAGATTCCGCTTTCAACCCTGCACTACGTAGCCACTGATGGGTACGGGTTTTGTCTACGTCAGCTTGTTTGGTACGGGCAGAGTATTGGCTATGAAGCGGTTTATCTTGCCATCGCTTCTGTAACTGGTCGGTTGCATTCGTCTTTGCTGTCTTTTTTAGGTATTTTGCAGTTTCAGCCGGTGTATTGTGCTGTAGTTGCATCTCTACGCCCATTTGAAACTCCATTTTAAATTTGTTGGCTTCTTTCATGACGGAGTAAAGACGCTTACTACTTTCATGTTCCTTGACGCATACCATCATCCAGTCTTCTGTAGTTTCCAAATATCTTTGGATGCCAATTGTTGTATTTTTGTAGGACAGTTCTAGTTGAACTAATCCTCTGCCTCCTTCGGATCTGGGCACATACAGACGATCAACATCAGCTTTGGGATGATGCATGCGATAGCAAGTGAGAAGCTTTCTCGTTTTGGCGTCCATTCGCTTAATTTCAGCTATGGTCCAGTTAAGGACATTAAAGCTGTATTGCACCACAGGGACAGCCAATGTGTTTATGGCTGATATTCTGTTTTTTGAGTTTAGCTCAGTGTTTAGTACCAGACGTACACGCCTGTAGTACTCTTTTCTTATTTTTTATTCTTTAATTTCTTCGTCCTTACATTGCCATTATTATTATTATTATTATAGCTTCTTTTTTAAACTTAATGTTTCTTCATTATTTGTATTTGTTTTTCTTATTGTTTTTGTTTTTCTTTATCATTTTTATCATATTCTTATTATTTCGTTATTTTTTCTCTTGATCTGTTTTATTGTTTGCTATTACTTTACCGTTGTTATTTTATATGTAATGCCTAATGTTTTTGTTTCATTATTATATTTACAAATTAATCTTTATTCGTTATTAGTTTAATCTTTTATTCTTATTGTATCATTGTTAATTTACTTATGTTAAGCTTTTTATTTCTTTTTTATTCCTTTTTCTGACTTTTATGATTATAGTCTAGATATTATTTTTTCATTATTACAGTTTTGTTATTATTTTAATTTCCGTTTGTTATTATTATTTTTTTTATTTCCTTTGATTTCTGGAGTTCACACATTTCTGTTTGAAATGGCATCATGAGAAACTCCACTGACAAAAAAAAAAAAAAAAAAAAAAAAAATTACATAGATAAAGCCCTTCGTAAATTGTGGGCCGTACTTGTCAGAACAATTTTTGTATCTCTTTGAGGCATGGACTTCCAGGAATCTCTTCAATTAGTCTACTGAAGTCTCTTATATTTATTTCAGCTTATTTACAGAAAATGGGGCACAAGGCCCTAAATGGGGAATGGGGAAATAAACTGTCTTCATCTGTCTTTATATTAAACTTAGCTAGCCACAAACACTAACCCAAACAGACCACAATATTCCTAACACCAAAACAATTCTTAATGACCTTTCTTACTACATCCACCATAATGCCTCATTCTCTCAATGAAAGTCCTAACTTGTCATCATATTGTTACGTTAGACCAATAATTGTACCCCCCTACCTTAGATTTTACAATTATATTTTTAATACCTAACATATTTGCGACGAGATATAAGAATAACAGTCGTCTCTTTATTTCTTTGAATATGCAGATTATGAATATTTTTTGTACCCGGTTAAACTGAAGCCAGCTCTTGGAAGAAAACCTTCCTTTCCACCACCTCCTGTCTGGTCTCTGATCGCAGGCCAGACGAATGCTGCTTGTATGATAAGTACAAGTAACCCTAATTGTGTTCAATGGATAACGCCTACTCACTTTCATATGTCAACACGTGACTTAACCCCTAACGGTTTTATTTCGCGCGTGTTGGGATATAACAACTAAGCTGTTTGCTTTCAGAGGAATCGGACGTCACCTAAATTGAACTTAGCTGTTTGCTTTCAGAGGAATCGGATGTCACCAAGAATCGAATGACCGACTAAAGAATCCTGAACGGTATTCTCAAACCCAAGTCGTCTATACTCCTGTGGTTTATCTGCGTATACTACTCGCCCTTAGCAAGGATTGAACGGCGTTTATCAAAGACTTATATCAAGATATTAGCAACTCCACCTTTTTTCACTCGGAGAATTGAATGGACATCTTTTCTTTCGAACTTTATTTCTTATAACAATCGATCGACGTCAATCCCTACAATTTGTAAGTCTTTACATGTTTAAATATATATATATTCTATAATCTGCTGTCACGATTTTTGACGGTATTTAGTTACATTGATGTTTGCTTGATCAACCAATTGTCCCCTCATCCCTTTTACTATTTAGTTTTCTTTTCTTTTCTTTAATTTAATACGCTGTATATTTTATAAATAAAGTATTTTTATTATATGTTCTCGTATCGTTTTCTGTTGTTCTGTGTCTGCATATTGTTCGTTTTCTCACTGCATTCACCGACGTCCGGAATTGGAGAATTCCCCTCCCATCTGGGATACTCTCGTTTATTTTTTTTTATTTGCTCGTTACGTTCCGGCTATCGTAGTCCCAACGAAACCCTGGGCGTAATAATATATACAATTCGTTGTCTGTGAGGGGAGCGGAATAAAATAAAAAAAAAAATTCAAACTCCCATGATTATTTACAAAAATGGACAAAACTATAGCGAAGAGCTCATCTGAAGAGTTACCATGAAAATGTTTATAAAAGAAGTACAGAGAGGTAAGCTTAGGGCAGTGGGCAAATGACTGAAGCCGAGCTGCAAGAGCAAGACCAATAATATTGCCTATTCTTCTTTGCATCTTATCGAGGAGTTCTAGGAAAATAGCACGGGCATCGGACCATCACATTTTTGTTCCTTTTTTATTATTTTATTTTGTTTTTATTTTTCGTTATTTGTTTAAGTTTTTATTCTTTTCGTATTTTTTTCATTCTGATATTTATATTGTTCATTTTATTCTTTTTTTTATCGTACTTTCTATTTTTTGTTTTCAATTATAATTTTTTATTTTTACAATTTTAATTTTAATTTTTATTCTTATCCTTTGTTTTATTCTCATTGTTTTCTTCTTCTTCTTCTTTTTATTGTTTCGCTACAATTTTCATCTTTCATTCTTAATCTTTCGCTATTACTTTTATTTTTATTCTTGTTTTTTCCTAATTTTATATGATATACGATATTTATTCATTATTCGAAATTATTTTCTATTCTTTGCTCATATTCTATCGTTATTAATAGGCCCTTGTGCAAATCAATGGAAAAGAAAGAAAGAATAATTCCTTTATTATTTACATTTTTCGTATTTTTCCTATGAAACATGACCCAGTGCACATGTTAGTACTTCGTATGTCTGTCTTCATGTTTTACAAGCTCTTTGATGGAATTTGGCATAGAATCCACTAATCAGTCCTCTTAGATTGTGATGTCATGAGCTTCGCTTCCGGCGCACAGTTCGCGATCTCTCTGTTAAGCTTGCCTGTGTGTTCGTGAAGCGTTACAATTTTCGTACGCTTCCTTGAAGTAACATCCATTGCAGACAATGGCCATAGGGCAACTAATCGACAGTCGAGACAATAGTGTCTGGGCGTGATAAAATCTGACGCAACCACGGATGACGCAACATTTTTCAAGGCCAAAAAAAGTTCATCATACACCCTAAAAATGTATTCATATTACTGCACACCACTGCAAATGACCTAATCTGAAAAAAAAAGAAAAAAGAAAACGATTACACCCTGTCATTCAGTGTGTCTTAAACTGACCGTATGGTGAAAGAAAGGAAAGTAATTAATTTGCACAGGGGTGTAGGTTTTTGGTCCTACTGTTTCTTATTTATTCGTTATGCTTTTTTATTCTTATAGTTTCGTTATTATTTTGTCATTCTTATTCCTTTGTTATTAATTTTATTTTTAGCCATTACTTTTTTAATCTATCATATTAATTCTAATTACTTTGCACTTTACTTTTACTATTACTATTTTGTTATATAACTGTAACTTACCATTTACTGCTATTATTTTGTCTGTAGAGTTTTTATTATTACTTTTATTCTATTTGTTTTTATTTTTATTTTATATTCTCAGTGATTCTTATCCTTTTTCTTTTATATTCTATAACATTCTTAATATTTCGTTATTATATAATAATCTTATTTTCCATTATTAGTTGATTTTATAAATTTTGATTTGCTTTTACGATTTATCAACACTTGCCGGTTATTTAAAGCCAGAGAATATTTTAAGGTTACAAGAATTGTTTTGGAGACAATAGCTGAAGGGAAGAAATGGCCTCATGCCTTTTTCAACAACATTTGCGCGTAAGTGAATATAACCAACTCGAGTTTAATCGGAACACGGCTCTCCGGTTTTCAGTTCTGAGACATTATCTATGGCACTACCCGCTACGCATACGGCACCTGTTATACCCAAGTTGTCACCCATCTAAATACTGAACAGCCACGATGTTGCTTAACTCCGATAATCGTATGAGAACCGGTGTTTCAACATGATATGGCCCTAAGCAGTTTTAATTTTTATTGTTTCATTATTATTCTTATGTTTTCTTATTTTATCTGTATATTTTTTTATATTTTTATCCTCATTAATATTCGTATTGTTTCATCCTTAATATATCATTACTACTTTTGGTTTTATTCTTATAGTTTTATATTATTATTTCGTCAATATATTCATCAAGTATTCGTTATTATTTAATCTTTAATTTCTTATTTTATTTTTATTAATTTATTTTTGTTTTTATTTATTCGTTATCATTTCTGTTCTTACACTTTGGTTATTACGTTGTTATTATTATTCTTGTGTTATTATTTTTTTGGTTGTTGAGTTTGTTTTTCACGGCTTATCAACCCTACAAAGGTCATTTAAAGGCAGAAGATAATTTAAGAATGTAAGAATACTTTTTTTAGAGATCATAATTCTTTAGAGATACAAGTCTCCCTAATTAACCTACAGCTGGGATCAGAAGATATAGATTCATACCTTTCCCAACGGGATTTACGCGTAGGCGAATATAACAAACCCAACTTGAATTAGAACTCAGCTCTCCGATTAACAATCTCGAACCATTATTCCTTACACCACTCCCTCATCCAAATTTTCAGCACCTGGTACTCCTAAGCAGTCACCCATCTAGAAAATGACCAGGACTTGCTTAACTTCGATATTCGTACTGGTGGTTGCTTTTCAACGTAATGTGACCGTAAGACCCTGTTATTATTTATATATTTTGATATTATTTTATTAATTGTTCTTATTTCTTTTTCTGTCGATATTGAAGGTTATTTATATTTTTCGTTATTCATTTTAGTCTTTATTCTTATCGTGTATTTTCATTCCAATATTTCATATAATTCTTACCGTTTCCCTATTGCATTTTTCCTTGTGTTTCTTTTTATTACTTCGCTATTATACTCATCATCTATTCATAATTGATTCGTTATTTATATGTTACACTTTTATCCTTTATTCATACTGCCTCGTTATATATATTTTATTTTATTATTTATTATCATTCATATTTTTCTGACACTTTAAATCTGTGCATATAATTTGTGTCCCCTATCGATATATCCATTAAATTGAATGCATGTTTTTATTTTTTATTTTATAGCCTGCAACAATCTAGCTGCGATTATATTTACATTAAATCCATTATCAATGCATTTACTTATTGATATAGATTTCGATAGTTACGTGTGCGGGTATAAGTTAGTGTATGATTTTTAATATTCACAGGAGATGTAAAAAAGAAAAAAACGTAGAAGAAATAAATTAATTTGCAATTAGAAAGTGGATATGTGTTAAAAGCTTTTAAGAATTCTCCCAGTTAAAATTAATGTAAAATTGCGTCAAATTTTATTAGGCAAGACAATGCTACACTATTTATATTATTCGGACTATTGTCCTCATTTTTGTCGCCATATTTATTACAACGTTTCGGCCGTTGTACCCTCCTCCTTCTTCAGGTGTTTGGAATGTCGAACTGAACTCTTTATTTCGCTGACTGGGGTAGGCTGTTCTAGTTCCACGTGCCATGTTTTAATGGATGTTAGTTATCATTTATCTCCTGTTAATTCCCTTCTCCAAGTTCTCCAATGCCTTAACCGTGTATTGGACTCACAATGTTTGGGTCCTGTCACTGGATCTAATCAACATCTTTATCCACTGTGCCATGTGTCCTTGAGGGTATATGTAATAAATATGGCGCCAAAGATGAGAACAATAGTCCGAATAATGCAAATAGTGTACATAATACCTCATCTCAGATATATAGACAGATAATACAGTACTATTTACAAGACATTTGGTATGAAGCAACATTTTCTGGATACAATTTTATATTGGTCTGGGTTGAGCTGAAATAAACTTTGCTTTTCAGTCAAGCCCAGGTGAAGGTTGGAGCTGGGAGTTACCTGCTTAACGGTTGGTGGAGTGCAGATTGAGTTGAGTCCGTTTGTTTACTTAAGCACATCATTGACCTTTACCTTTTAAGATGCACCGATTCGTGACTAGTTCCACACAATTGTCGGACTCTATTGACATCGAAAAGATAGTTGTTTCTTCAGGATAATCCAGCGTTTTATCGGGTCTAATATATACAGAATTGGCTCGCGGAACATTCTAGAGACTTCGGTTGGATTCTATCTCCCCCATATTCAGGCAACATGAACAGAATCAAAAAAAATTTTTGGATGTTGTAAAAAGGTGTATTCGCATGGAAGATCGAGCATCTATACATGATCAGGTTGATATTTCCGCGTGGTGAACCTAAGATGGAAAAAAAAAACGAGCATGCTGTCGATTTTTTTTTGTATCGTCTTGGCTGAGGAGGAAGTGACGTAAGTCGTTAATTATTAGTCACTTGTAATTTCAAGATCAGCAGTGGCATTTATTTAATGAGTCCATTTGTTGCGTGCTTGGCGTATGCTTTTGTTTCAGGATCGCCTGCAGGAATAGTACTGTTTCATTAGGGTCCCTTGGACGAACAAGTATGATGTTGTAAGACCCGAAACTTGTCATGACCCCAAGTCATAATATCACTGACGAGCCGATCCTGAACACTCGTTGGAGTGTTTTTCATGACAGGAAGCTTTGGAAAGCTATTGAGTCGATATAGATATCTTCCGATAAATTGTAAAATCGATGCCATCTCGAATTACCGCAGTTCACCGGAATAAATTAAAAGTATTGGAAATTGAAAAAAGAAGAAATATTTTTTTTATGTGGTGGGTGACTATATGGCCCATGGTAAATTTTAAAATCTACGCGGCCAACGTCTTTAGGGAAATTCGCATTTAGTTTTGCGCACGCAGACATAAAAGGTCGAATATTTTGTTTAAATAAACAGCATACATAGAACACATTTGTTGATTGAATGATTGATTCATTTTTTACAGCTTATCAACTCTTTGCAGGTTATTTAACGCGAAAATATATATTTTGGGGGTGGGATTTAAATAATACCGTAGGGATAGAAGACTTACTAATTAACACATAGTTCGAGGAAGAAGAAAATACCCCTTGTCAAGGGTATTTTCGCGTAAGTTAATAAAAAAAACAAATAGGCGTCCTGGGTATGACGATAAACTACGTCCAACAGCAAGGCCTCTGATCAGGAAGTTTTGAGGATCGTGGAACCACCTCTGAATTGCTGGTGTTCCCATGTCCACCCTGACATGGGGTGATAGCACCTGTTAGGTTCCCAGCTATGGGAAAATAGTTAACCCCAAAACTGAGGTTAAAAGCATTATAAAAGTGTAAAAATAGGTTTTACTACCAGAAATACTTTGTAAAAAATTATTACGAAATAAATTTTTGAAGAAAAAAAAACTATTACCAGCAATATTTTTTTTGAAAACTATTATTACAAGCAATATATTAAACAAAAAAAACAAAAAAAAAACATTACCAGCAATATTTTTTCGGCAAAAAAAATATTACCAGCAATACGTTTTTGAAAAAAAAAAAAAATATTACCAGCAATACATGTTTTAAAATAATGTTACCAGCTATACATTTTTATGGAAAAAAATATTACCAGAAACAGATTTTTGACAAAACAAAATATTACCAGAAAAAAAAAAAGTTGTCGGCATTAAATCACCCATTGAGTTTGATATGCCGTAAAACACAACAAGCCAAACCAAACCAAACGGGAATTAGAACTCAGATTCCGAGTAACAATTCCGACCCATTATCCATTAAACAACCCGAACTTGATATTCTGAAGAGTTCACCCATACAGACCAGGCGCGCTCATATTTATCATATGCCTCAAAATATGAAGCAATAATTATTTTAAAGATGAAACTATATCGAGATTCTACTTCAGGAGAAAAGCAGCAAAAATCCTTAAAAAAAAAGATTAAAATTGATTACCGTACATACTCGTGTAACGTGCGATGTTTATTTTAAATATAGCTGAACTTTTTGACTACTGTAAATGGATAAATAGTTTGGCCAACAGTGTAGCCAAAGCAACGCTAATTTTATATCTTGTGTATAACGCGACACCCTTAAAAGGAGCTTCAAAATTAGATCTTCAAAAGTCACATGATACTCGAGTATATACGGTTTCTTTCTTTCTTTCTTTCTTTCTTTCTTTCTTTCTATCTTTCTATCTATCTATCTATCTATCTATCTCGGTCTGTGGATTATCTATCTATCGCAGTCTGTTATCTATCTATCTATCTATCTATCTATCTATCTATCTATCTATCTATCTATCTATCTGCTGTATATACTCGCGTATCATGCGATTTTTGAAGAGATAATTTTGAAGCTAATTTGACTTCAGTAAATGGATATAGAGTTTGCTCAACGGCGTAGCCAGGTCCAGCAGTGCATAAGCTAATTTGATATCTCGTGTATGATACAACCCTCTTAAAATTAGCTCCAAAATTAGGTCTTTAAAGTCGCATGATAGGCGAGTATATACGGTATCTATCTATCTATCTATCTATCTATCTATCTATCTATCTATCTATCTCAGTCTGTCCAATATCTATCTATCTATCTTACATATTCGAGTATCATGCGATTTTTGAAGAGATAATTTTGAAACTAAATTGACTACAGTAAATGGATGTATAGTTAGATCAACGGCGTAGCCAGGTCCAGCAGTGCATAAGCTAATTTGATATCTCGTGTATGATACGACCGTCTTAAAATTAGCTCCAAAATTAGGTCTTTAAAGTCGCATGATACGCGAATATGTAAGGTTTTCTGTTTTTGAGAATTACCCAAGGGTAATTTCCAGGCATTTTGCCATAGAGGTTGATTGAATAATGTCTCATTTGATTTATTTCATCCTTATTTTATGCCGATTATAAACAAATTTGCAGTAATCAGTAGAAATAAGTAAAAAAAATGGAATGGAAGGGAATAATTTCTTTCATCGGTTAATCAAATGGAATTTATTTACATATTTTTTAATCGGTATCACTCTATGCAAGGTAGTAAAGCCACTAAGACACAAGGGGTTACTGGGTATGGAAGTA